GGAAGCCAAGGACTGTGGCCCCAAGCTATGGAGGAGAAGGCATGCCCATCTTTCTAGGCCCTAAGGTGTGTCTTCTTCTTTTGCTTTCATGATTCTTGGGAAGGGCCATAGGAAACTCTCTTGATTTATCATGCTAAATATGTTAATTCATGAGCATACTGTATTTTCACACAGATGATTTTGTATTAGTTATATGTTGTTGTTGTTGTTGTTATGTGCCGTCATGTCAGACACGCCCCATCTTCCTTCCGAGGAGTGGCTGATGGGTTTGAACCACCAGCCTTCTGGTTAGCAGTCAAATGCTTTAGGCACTGCGCTACCAGAGCTCCTCAGTAGGTATATAGGCAGTTTATTTAGTAAGATTAGAAATAAATTTTCATCCAAAGGTGGAGTCCAAAGCAAACTGCAGTTGTTTTCTTTTGGTACTTGCTGCATTTGTTCTTTAGCCTCTGACCCTGTTGTTGGCTTCATCCCCTCTTTTCTATCCCAGCAGCAGTCTTGACTTCTTGTCTCTGTCATTTCTTCCCTTCAGTCCACTCTCTAAACCCTGGTATATGATCCTCTCAAAATGAACTAAGTCTCTTCTCTGCTTAAAATCCTGCAAAGGGGTTCCTCTTTGCCCAGACTCTTGGTTGGATCCAAGTCTAAACACTTTAAACACTGCATGGTCCCTCCCAGCCTGGCCTCCCCAGCATGGCAGCTGCTAGCACTTCTGCATTAGCAAATACTCCTCCCTCAGTTTAGAACATAATTCCTGCCCATTCTTCTTCACTAAAATAATTTCTCCTGGAAGATTTCACTCTAATGCCACCTCCAACCTTCCCTACTCTTATATGTTATTGGTAATTATTCTTCTTTCCCTCCATACCACCAGATAGGGCTTTGCAAAAGGGGTGAGTTGTCGGTAGCTGCTGTGAAGTTGGCCCCCAGCCTCATGGCAACCCCATGCACAAAGGAATGAAATGCTGATCCTGCACCATTCCCATAAGCGGCTAGGGATTGGACTACTGTGATCCACAGAGTTTTCATTGGCTACTTTTTGGAAGCTGAACATCAGGCCTTTCTTCCTGGTCCATTGCAGTCTGGAAGCTGAGCTAAAACCATGGTAGAATCTTTTTTCTTTTTTATAAATTTTCACATTTGCAAATATTCTTAAAACATTGCTAGAATCCATTCTGTCTCTTTTTTAAGATTGTAATAATATATTTTCTATCTCTTTTTTAAAAATTTCAATAATATATTTTGGTCAAGATTCTTCTATGGAATCTTTGATCAAAAAGTTCAGTAATGGTAGTTAGGTACCATCCAGTTCTTGTGGTCTCATGGTAAAGGAAGCATAGTCTCCTGTTCTTGACTCTCCTTCTACTGTTGCCCCAGGTGAATTAAGACCAATTGTTATGGTTTGGATGGCTGCATGTAAGCTTGTAAGACCCCAGGCACAAGGTAAAGAACTAGGAGGTAAAACAGAAGCAATAAACACATTATTAGGCCAATTGACTGGGATGTCCCATGAAACCATGACTGTAAACCTTCAAAGCAAGGCGCTAAATCCTGTGAAGTGTTTGGTTGTATATAAGATGTCTCAGCAGCTACTCTTTTCGTGTCATTGTTGTAAATATATCTATCACACAACTTCTGCCAATTCAACTTTTTACAGGTGTGCAACTTATTGACAACAATTACAGTAATTGGCTGTGCATACCTACCTTTAATAAATGTGATTTTTCCATCACTGTTAACCGTCTTTTCCCCTTTCCTTCTTCCTCCTGCCCCTAGTAACCAATATCTGTCCTTTTGTGATTGGCTTATTTTGCTCAGCGTACTGTCTTCAAGCTCCATCTATACTGTGGCATATATCATGTCCTCATTTCTCCTACTGGCTGAGTACAATATTTTCCATTGTATGTATGTACCACATTTTGTTGATGCATGCATCTGTTAATGGGCATTTTAGTTGTTTCTACCTTTTGGCTACTGTGAATAGTTCTGCAGTGAACACTGATATACAAGTCTCTTGGACTCTCTGCAGATGCAAATGTGGACCTAGATGAGACTAGGAGAGCCAACCAGCTGAGCCCAATCCAAACTGCCTAACTCAGAATTGTGACCTAGATAAGTCATTATTATTTTATGCTACTAAATTATGTGGTTGGTGGTTTGTTATTCTGCAGAACCTAAATAAGGTAGACATATTTAGCAAAAATCCCAAAATAGAAATTAAAAGTAGGCTGTTGTTGTTGTTATGTGCCGTCGAGTCAGCCCTGACTCATAGGGGCCTCTCCTTGGGTTTCCAAGGCAGTATCACTATGGAAGTAGGATTGCCCAACCTTCCTTCCGAGGAGTGGCTGGTGGGTTTGAACCGCCAGCCTTCTGGTTAGCAGTCAAGTGCCTTAGACACTATGCTACCAGAGCTCCCAAAGTAGGCTCGTTCTACATAATTGTAAGGTTAGCTTAAGGAGTATTTTTAGTTCTGTGGATTCTTTTAACTCTTTTGTGAGATCCTTAAATGAATCAACAGTGCTTTTAATTGCATCAAGGTTGAAATTATGTGGAAAAAAACAGATATTAGGAACTGAAAAAGTAATTTGAATTTCCCTGGTTATCTAATAAATGGTTATATTATGGTTTCTTTGTTAGAATCAAGATCCAAATAAAGTTTGGTTGATATGTGTCACACACACACACATACAAAGTAATTCAGAGAAACAAGACTCTGAATGTGAGAAATTGTAGGAATATCTTACTCAACTTATTTTACTTATATATTCCTTTTTAACTAATATACAAGAATAATATAAGATTTAAAATGTATGCTTAGGAGGATCTAAAAGTTTTAAAAATTATTTACATTCATAACATGAATTTTATTGGAGACATTTTCTTTTATATTAGACATAAAGTAAAATGCATCTTACAATAAGTAGATGGAATCTTAGCGTTTTAAGGGGCTGCTGCATTGCCATAAAGACATGGAATGTCTTATCTTCCGTCTTCTGGCTATTTTCCTAAGAGAAAACAGTTTGTTTTATATACTATATTCTATATCAAGAATGATATGTGGTAAATAAATGCAATAAATAAATATAATGTGTGCATGCACACACATACATTCTGAGTGTTTTCTGCAAGCATTAATGATTAAGCCTAACCATAGCTTGACTGCTCACCAGAATGCTGGCGGTTCAAACCCACCAGCCACTCCTCGGAAGGAAGGTTGGGCAAGCCTACTTCCGTAGTGATACTGCCTCGGAAACCCAAGGAGGGGTTGCTGTGAGTCGGGGCTGACTCGATGGCACATAACAACAACAACAACAACCATAGCTAGATACCCAGTTTATAAAAGCAGTGGAGAAAAAGGGTGGTTCAATTTAGCAAATGTTAGGTGTTTCTGTAAAGATTTTCATAAATTTCCTATACAATTAGGGCATCTACCCCCAAAATAACTATTTTGTTTCTTCCTTTCTGATCCTTATTTCTCTTACTATATTTGTCTTGTGTGGCTTACTACCTCCAGTAATTGTTGTACATTTGGAGTGTCTGTTTCCATGGAAATAATTTTTTAAATTTTATTATTAATGGTTGGTGTTCACTATAGACTTTTTGGTACATACCCCTCATCAGGTATAAAGTCTGGGATGCTTTTGGCTGCAAACATTAAGAAACCTCAACTCAAGCTGATGTAAACAATGAGGAAATTCATTCTCTCATATAATTATAAGCCCAGAGGTAGGTGAGTGTCAGGGAGGAAAGGATGAAATTTAAAGAAATGAAAAACAAAATCTGCTCTATCAGATTAAAGAAGAAATTATCTTCCTAATTGAGCTCTGGTAGCATAGTGGTAGTGGCTAAGGCACTTGACTGCTAAC